CGTGCTAATGAAAGGTAAAAGGTAAAGTTAGCACAGTAGAATGTTGTTATATTCTGTCCTATAAACACGGATCTGCAGACAGAAGGGAGCTACAGCTCTTTGTGGAGGGTATAAAAAAAATGAAATTACAATTACACCTGGGGAAATTACACTGAACTGTAATAGGAATAGATCGGAGTAGATGAAATAATAAAAGGTATGTATGTATGTATGTATGTATGTATGTATGTATGTATTGGAGAGAGGATCTCACTCTGTCACCCAGGCTGGAGCACACTAGCATGATCTCAGATCACTGCAACCACCACCTCCCAGGCTCAAGCAATCCTCCTACCCCTCAGCCTCCCAAGTAGCTGGGACTATAGGCGCATGACACCACGCTCAGCTATTTTTTATATTTTTTGTAAAGACGGGGTTTGGCTATGCTGCCCAAGCTGGTCTCAAACTCCTGAGCTTAAGCAATTCACCCACTTCGGCCTCCCAAAGTGCTGGGATTACAGGTATGAGCCCCCATATCCAGCCATAAAAAGTATTTCTTATAACAGTACAGTAGAGGCATAATATAATTCTTAACTAGAGAAATACTGTGAGAATGGAAAAAAATGTAAATGAAGAAATCAAACTATCACAGAGAAATGATAATATAGCAATAAAAAAGTCTTAAGGTTCAGAGGAAAATAAAGCCTTATTATGGGCTTGCTTCTTGTTTTTTGTTTTTAATTTTTGGTCGACAAAAGCACTGTTTGCTTACTATAAAAATTTTGTTGCAGAAATACATAACATCCAATTAATCGCTAAATCCAATATACCTTCAATTTTTTATTTTTATTTTTATTTTTGAGACAGGCTCTGGCTACAACGCTCAGGCTGAAGTGCAGTGGTGCAATCTCAGCTCACTGCAGCCTCAATCTCCTCGGCCTAATCAATTCTCCCACCTCAGCTTCCTGAGTAGCTGGGAAGTACTGGCCACATGCCACCATGCCTGGCTAATTTTTGTATTTTTTGTAGAGATGGGGTTTCACTATGTTGCCAGGCTGGTCTTAAACTCTGGGGCTCAAGTGATCCTCCTGCCTCGGCCTCCCAAAGTGCTGACATTATAGGTGTGAGACACCTTGTCGAGCCCACCTTCAATATTTTCTAAATTCCATCCAAATACACCCCTTTCTATCCAATGCACCATCCTAGTCTTGACTATCATCATCTCTTACCTAAGTAACTTTAATGACCTCCTTACTGGTTTCTCCACATCCTTTCATAATCCAATTTCTCTATGGTAACCAGAGCAATTTACTTTATTTTATTTTACTTTCAAAAAGACAAGGTCTTAACTTGTTACCAGGCTAGTGTGCAGTGGCACTATCACAGCTCACTGAAGCCTCAAACTCCCATGCTCAGTCAATCCTTCTGCCTCACCTTCCTTAAGCTAGGACTGCAAGTGCATGCCACCATGCCCAGCTAATTTTTAAATTTTTGTAGAGACAGGATCTCACTATGTTGCCCACATGGGTCTTGAACTCATGACCTCAAGTGATCCTCCTACCTCACACTCCCAAAGTGCTGGAATTACAGTCATGAGCTACCACACCTGGCCACAATTTATTTTTTTTTAATTTGAGACAGAGTCTCACTCTATCACCCAGGCTGGAGTGTAGTGGCGCGATCTCAGCTCACTGCAACCTCTGCCTCCCAGGTTCAAGCCATCCTCCTGCCTCAGCCTCCAGAGTAGCTAGGATTACAGGTGCCCGCCACCACACCTGGCTAATTTTCTTATTTTTTTAGTAGAGACTGCGTTTCACTATTTTGGTCCTAACCTCAGGTGATCCACCTGCCTCAGCCTCCCAAAGTGCTGGGATTACAGGCATGAGCTACCACATCCGGCCCACAATTTACTTTTTAAAATAAGTAATACATGCTCACATTAAGCAAATTCGATGTTACACCAAAACATGTATTTCGGCCAGGTGTGGTGGCTCACGCCTGTAATCTCAACACTTTGGGAGGCAAAGGCAGATGGAACACAAGGCCAGGAATTCAAAACCAGTCTGGCCAAGATGGTGAAGCCCCGTCTCTACTAAAAAAATATCTGTAATCCCAGCACTTTGGGAGGCCAAGGCCAGCGGATCACAAGGTCAAGAGATCGAGACCATCCTGGCCAACATGGTGAAACCCCTCTACTAAAAATACAAAAAAAAATTACCTGGGAGTGGTAGCGCACACGTGTAGTCCCAGCTACTCGGGAGGCTGAGGCAGGAGAATTGCTTGAACCGGGGAGGTGGAGGTTGCAGTGAGCTGAGATCACGCCACTGCACTCCAGCCTGGTGCCTGGCACCG